GTTATGAAATAAGCTTTACAGTTTTATTTTCTGCATCAAACAACACTGAACAGAAAATGGAAACGAAACAAAGTAAAAAATAAAAATAAAAAAATAAAAATCCCCTCCATGTGAAACTGTTTGAGTAATAAATAAAAATCCAGATATTAGGGGTGGTGGGGGGAGGGGGGTACTGTCAGTATCTGTCCAGGAAGTTGTAATTTAAATGCCCCAAATCATCATTCCTTACCTTAGACTTAAACATCTCACTGTATTAAAGAACCTTATTGATCCTTACATTATATAGAGTCTATATAATGKAAGGAGCAATCTCTATTCCATATTCTATATTTATAGAAGAATAGAGAATATACAGCCTTTATTGTCCCGCCGAGGGGAAATTCAGGTGTCACAGCAGCATCCGTACAGAGGTTCACACACTAGTTATTTTACAAATTATAGATAGTGCACACAAAACAAAAATTAACACTGGCTAGCCACGATACGACTACTAATAATAAAAAAATTAATATAAAGAATTGTGCAAAAATAGAAAAAAGATGTGTTTTAGAGACAGACTATCAGAATCTGATATTAGGAATTAGAAATTGCCTTATATGAACAGTATACTGTATCATCTTTGTCTCAAGTGGAGGTKTCTTGTTCATGAGTGATGGTATAAAGCAGGAGATGGATTGACGGATTAGGGCCTTGTCCTCAGTAATGAGGGTGTTGCTTTGGTCGATCATGGTGAAGAACGAGCAGTCGAAAGGCAAAGCTTTTGATCTGGTCTGTTGACCTTCCAAGACTCGCCTATGGTCATGAGGCATGGATCATGGCCGAAAGAACGAGACCCCGGATACAAAAGCTCGGCGTAGAGCCGCTGCTCCTCCTCATCGATAGGAGTCAGCTGAGGTGGTTCAGGCATCTGCTTAGTAAGTCTCCTGGACGCTTCCCTTTAGAGGTGTTCCGAGTCTGGTGGAAGGCCCCAGAGAATACCAAGGACTCTCTGAAGGGATTTGTCTCCTCTCTGGCTTGGGAACGCCTCAAGGTGCCCCAGGACAAGAGAGTGAGGTCTGAATTTCTCCCCTGGACCTGTTACTTTCACCACCTGACTACAAATAAGCATCAGAAGATGGATGAAGTTTTTTATATATAATTCTGAGATTTTGCCTCTTTTTATTTAAGCATCTCTTTATCTCTCCCCACCGCTGTTACAGGTAATAAAATAACAAGTTGGCTTTTATATGGTATTCTTTCTTTAAACCTAAAACATTTAGCAGTGGTATTTCTTACAAGTCAAAAAGGCCAACTAAAGAAAGTGTAAAATGTACAGCTGTGCTAGGTTTCTCCTCTCAGAATGTTGTCAGGCTGTACGTCGCCATGGGTTGCCAGCTTCTCTCTGCAGAGGGAAACCTTGCCAGATGAGCTKTGAATTACACTAAATGTGGAAAAAGTGACACTGTCTTAAATTCCATTCCATTATCTTTTGCTCACTTCTTTCTTTCAGGATCACAGGGGTCACTGTGTGAGGGAACACTGGGCTACAGACAACCGTTTGCCCTCTCATAAGGAAAATTTCCATTCACCATTTTTTTATTGGCAAATTACTAATTTACCAGCATGTTTTTGGTCTATGGGAAGAAACCAGAGTACCCAGAGAAAACCCACTCATGCCTTGAAAGAATATGCCAATTGACCAGATTGATCCCCCGGGCGGGGAACCTTCTTACTGGGAGACAGCAGCTCTACCAACTGATCCACAATGCTGCCCACTGGAAAAACTTAACCGAATCAGGACCCTAAAGAAGTCTATACCCATCTGTCCGTCCGTCCATTTACTTCTGCTTATCTGGGTCGGGTTACAGGAGCAGCAGCCTAAGAAGAGAGACCCAGACTTCCCTCTTCCCAACCACTTGGGCCAGTTCCTCTGGGGGAATCCCAAGGTGTTCCCAGACCAGCTGAGAGACATAGTCCCTCCAGTGTCCTGGACAAAATACTGCATGGATGGGCTACTGATAGTTCGTTTCTTTGTTTACACGTGTTACAGTTTGGTTTTAACATGTATGAAGCTTCAACATTCACAGACCTCAAACAGATGTTCTATATCCAACTAATCYGTTTTTATCTTGGGATGCTATGAAGATTTGTCAAGGTTTAAGAACRATACACCGTTGTTATTTCAGTAATTATTACTAATAATAAGAAATGAAAAACACAAGTGAATAACAGTCCCAGTGGGCACCAGGATAATTGTATATTCATCTGCACCCTGTGGCTCAGAGCTCTGACTTCYCTGTGGATCTGTTATCTCTATAGCACCAAACTGATGATGTGATGGTGACAGTGATGACACAAGGCAAAATATCTGTTAAGTTTTAAGCCTACTAATAAAAGTATGGGAAAGATTACTTAAATTAAAAAAAATGTGCTGCAAATTTGACCATTAAAAGAAAACATGTTTTATTAATCTCATAAAAATACACGTGGTGTGTTTAACCAATGTCTATTTTTCATCTGTGGTCTTATGCACACCTCCTATATAAAAAATACAAAAAACACAAACAACAATAAACATAAATTCAAACCTAAACTCCCTCCCAGTTACACAGATAAATATTCTACCTCTTGAATTTCCTGACCATTCCAAACTATCATGAACTCTGTAGAAGAGCTGCAGCTTCATCACTTGTCTTTGGCCTCCCGGATGTTTCTCGGATTAACACCCTTCTTGTTCAGGTTTTGAGTTTGGGAGGTGGCCCTCTATTGACAGGTTTATTGTGGCATTGAAGGAAATTTGTGATCAATAAATGGAAGTCTGAGTAATATAGCAGAAAACCAGTGGTGGGCACAKTTCCTTTAAARCACTAAACACTAATAGGAGAGCTAATTTCCTGATTAGTGCTTTTTAATACTTTAATTCATAAGTGGATTAGCGCTTGCTAAATTTTCAAGCAAAATATAGAAGCACTAATTGAGGTCATTAAATGTTATTGATCAACATTATTGTTAACTGCTGAGGGTGAAAGCTGTCACACATTTTGTTTATATGCATTCACTTATCCATGACAATATTCTGACACAAATAAATATTGTCTCATTTTGACTCTGAAGAATGTTCAACTGAGTGATTGGCGCTTTAGAATTAGCTTTTGCTAAATGTTTCAGTGCGTTAGTGCTTTAGGATTTGTTCTTGCTAAATGTTTCAGTGCGTTAGTGCTTTAAGATTTGTTTTTGTTAAATGTTTCAGTGCGTTAGTGCTTTAAGATTTGTTTTTGTTAAATGTTTCAGTGCATTAGTGCTTTAGGATTTGTTTTTGCTAAATATTTCAGTGCGTTAGTGCTTTAGGATTTGTTTTTGCTAAATGTTTCAGTGCGTTAGTGCTTTAAGATTTGTTTTTGTTAAATATTTCAGTGCATTAGTGCTTTAGGAT